TGAAATAGCATTCACTATTATTACGCCAGCAATATTCTGGCTTCCAAAATAATTTATTACTGTTAATAGTTCAGCTCTTTTTTTATATGTTGCTTTACTAGAACCGGTTTTTAAAAATAATTTTAGGAAACTAAAGCTATCTGTGCAAACATTCTCAACATGATTTCTAAATGAATTGTGTGTAGGGGCAAATGCTAAACTATGAAATATACTGTCGAATCCGCAAGTATTTTGAATATATTTTTTATTGAAATAGATATTAATGAAACCTATTTATGAACTTATGAAAGAATTACTAACTGAAACTTCAAAAAAATTTAATTTTCAAAGAGTAAAGTGTTCTTTATAGAGTTGTTCTAGGGAAAATATTAGCTATTCCAGATTGCTTAGGTATAATAAGTATTTGTGATATGGAACTGAAAATAGAAAAACTATGGTCACAGCAATCAACTAGACATTTTGGCAGCCCAACCTACTTTTGTTAGTTTAGTTTATTTATTAATTTATTACTTAGTTTTACAAAATAAAATACACTTTAAATCGCAACTTATGTTTTATTATTATAAGTTTAAAGGGAAAGGTGATTTTTAGGAAATTAGATGGTCAGATTATTCCATATTTGTAAATTTTTTAAAACTATTATTATATTAAAGGTTGGGTTCACTGATTCAACAAAACGTGTCCGATATCACAACAACTCAAATTTAAAGGTTTTCTAATGAAAACAACAGCTGTTCTGAATTGTTTTAATTGTTGTAAGTACTAATTTTTAATATGAAACTTTAAAAGAACTAAAGCCGCAGTGATTAAATAAGCATTTTAAGTACCTAGAACAACAAGAACAATTTAGAGCAACAAAAAATATGTAATTTTACAAAATTAATGTCCGTGTTAAACGTAAAACACATCTAGAACAATTTGAATCGACAAAGTTTGAGTTATTTTAGATTGTTCTATGCTTTTTAATTGTTATTGCGTAATATAAAACCGCTGACACAAGAATTACTGACTGAAACTTCGAAAAACTTTAATTTTCAAAGAGTAAAGTGCCCTTTAGAGAGTTGTTCCAGTGAAAATAATAGCTGTTCCAGATTGCGTTAGCTATAATAAGTATATATTTCTAATATGGAATTGATAATAGAAAAACTATGGTCACAGCAATTAACTAGACATTTCGGCGGTCAAACCTATTTTTAGTTATAACTTCATAATGCTGTATCCCATAATTTTGATTTTCTAGAACAATAACTAGAACAACTAGAACAACCCAGAACAACAGAGAAAATTAGATTTTTCCAAAAATGGGGGGCTAGTCAAAAAACCCGTTTTCTCTGTTTTCTCGCGGAGTTTTTATTNACCTCGGCTTAATAATTACCAACCTCAGCTGATTATGTTGGAATTATATGACTGTGTGTGATTAAGACGAGGTTGCTTGCAGTCGAGGTTTTACGATGAATACCATAGCAATTTTAAGCTAGTTAACATATTGTATCGCCTCGGCTGCCAGTGACCTTATTGCGAACCTTAGATGATTTTATGGGAATTGTGTGATTCTGTAGCTTTCACCTGAAAATGTGCACATTTCCCGATTATGTGAATGAAGATGTGTGATTTCCTCTCCTGATTTTGTTGGAGTTGTATGATTCTGAACGATTAAGCCGAGGTCGCTTGCGACGGAGACCTATTATACATACTATGTCAATCTTAACACTTTACCGACCGTTAGCGATTCAACAGCATACGCACGTGCGACCGGCGCGGTCGGACTATATAGAAACCGATTAACAGGCTATCGGTCGATAAAGTGTTAAGGTAGCTAACACATTGTAGTGCCTCGCCCGCAAGCGACCTCGGCTTAACAATTACCAACTTCGGCTGCTTATGTTCGAATTATATGACTCTGTGTGATTAAGCCAAGGTCGCTTATGGCCGAGGCCTAGAATATATACCATGTCAATCTTAAGGTAGTTAACACATTGCAGCGCCTCGCCCGCAAGCGACCTCGGCTTATTAATGATTATGTTGGAATTGTATGACTCTATGTGATTAAGACGAGGTTGCTTGCAGCCGAGGTTCTACAATGAATACTAAACCAATTTTAAGCTAGTTAACACACTTCAGCGCCTTGACTTCTAGTGACCTCGTTTTAATATTTGCGAACCTCAGAAGATTGTATTGGAATTGTCTGATTCTGTGTGATTAAAAGAAGGTTGCTTGTAGCCGAGGATCTACAATGAATACCAAATCAATTTTAGGATAGTTAACACATTGTAGTGCTTTGGCTTTAGTGACCTCGTCTTAATAATTGCGAACCTCAGATGATTTTATTGGAATTGTATGATTCTGTGTGATTAAGACGAGGTTGCTTGGAGTCGAGGTTCTACAATGAATACCAAATCAATTTTAAGCTAGTTTAAACATTACAGCGCCTCGGCTGCTGGTGACTTCATTTTAATAATTGCGAACCTCAGATGATTTGATTGGAATTGTATGATTCTGTAGATTTCAATGTTGATGGTGGCTTGTTTAGTGAACGTGATAATTATTGTTAAATTAGATTTAGCTAAATTTTGGATTTGTGAAGATTTTTCGTTAACTCTGCTAAATTTATAGGTTGATGAGAGTTTAAAATAGGATTTATGGTAATAATAATAATGACGATAAACGTTAATAATAGTCGTTGGCAGAATAGTTTGAACGCGAGGCAAAACGGACACGTACATGGAAGATTTCGTTTTGGAATATCTATGGCACGCGCGTCCATTAATCCATGCAGATAAAACGCTAATAGCGGCACCGAGCGAGGCGATTATGGCACCGTCGGATTTCGCAGGATCGGGACGCATTAATGAGGGCGTCCGTATCGCCGCCAGAGGTCGTTTATAAATTTCCGTTTATTGAGCCGCAGCGGCTCTCACATTGCAGATAAAACCAGCCGTTATAAAATCCCAACCCAGGCAATTGACAAACACAAAACCGCAAACAAACAAAGTCCGCCAAGTATAAAAGTGTATACCAAAAAGTTGAAAATAAAGGGCAAACATTAGACGTTATAACTTCTTGAAGATTAAATACCATTTCCTCGGTTTCAGTTACTATTTAGTGACGTTTCCCAGTTATTTTCCAGGGAATTCTGAGCCGGAATGCAATTCCGAAGGACACAATGTAAGGGCGATATAATGCGCCGCCGTTTTTACGTTCGTACTAAATTTGTATTTCCGGTTTACTGCACGCGATGTTTGTAGATTCGGTCTACAACGAGTCGTACCTACTGCTACTACCACGGCGAGAGCGCGTATTTTCCACTTTATCTTTAATATTTGCCCCGGACTTTTATTGGACTCCCATCTCGAATCTAGCAACGGATGTTGCAACTAAATTTGCACGAATTGGAAATGGATTAATGGCCAAATCGAGACTATTTCATTTCACAACTTTAAACCTAAATCTAAATAAAATGTTGATAATCCATGTTTACATCGTTCAAACAACGAACAATAAGCCCCTTAGTGTTGCCAACCACGTTCGAGCGGTATTTTAAAAGTTTCGTCGCTTAAAATCGTAATTAAATAAAGCGGTTATTTATGAATATTCATCTGACGCAAGGTGGCGGCGGCGGCGTAAACTGCCGGGGCCGCAACATGAAAACTTTCTGTTTTACAACGTAACGATGCTGCGCCCGGCTAAATTACGTTTGTTTGACTTTTCAATTTGCGAGTTTGCGCCGTTTTTTTTTATTTTTTTGGGTCCTCAGCTCTAATTACGCCAGTTCCCGAAACTTTTGTTCCATACGGTACAATGACCCGAGTCGAGTACAATGACAATCAAAAAGAAACATACTAAAATAAAAAGAACGAATTTTTAAATTGTGTAAAAGTACGCAGTTAGAAATGAATTAGCACAAAACTTTTTGGAGGCAACCTCGTTTTTCATGAAATAAATAAAAAATTCTTTGTAGATTAAAAGTAAGATTAATCAAACTAACACAAAAGGTGTACAATTGGTAAACGTGAAGTTTGCTTGGTCAAGAAAGTTTCTATGCAAGCTGCAGGAGTTAATATGTACAACTTAATTTAACTTGTAAGTCTGTTTATAGTGACGAGAGGGTGGGTGAGTTCAGCTCGACCCGTTTTTCTTCCACGGAGCGCTGGGAAAAGTTAATTATGGACAAACCACAAGCCGTGGCAAGTCTTTGTTCGGGTTCTTCGTTCTAAAACTCCGGATAACGCCGTGGAGCGCGCGATAACAACGGTCGTTATTTACGAAATAGTTTTCGTTCAAGTTATTGTTTTGAATTAAAACCAACAAACCAGAAAACAAATCGGAGAGAAAATGAAACGAACACAGCTATTGAAAACGAATTGTAATAAAACACATAATCGATTAAAAAATTCAAAAAAAGAACGATTTTTTTTTAAGAAAAGAAACAATAAAAGTCACAAATAGACCTAAACAATAACCGAACCTGAACCAGACCGGAAACGTAATCTTCCCCGAGGCATCCGGTCAATTGGGTCCCTTTTATGCCGCCCTTAAAAGCTCCGGCCATCGGGCGCAGATGTTACAGATTTTCAGCAGATAAAGCGCGGCCCGATAAAAATAGAGTATATCCAATTATGCCCCGCCAGGATAGTCCCTGATGCCGATTCAGCCGCACAGCATCTGGCCCGGATTTTCGTCCAGTGAGGTTAAAATCCCGGAGCTGAACACTAATAATGGCCCCGCAGATTGCTGATTTTAATTGCATCAGCTCTACCGCTCGGCACTGAAACCGACGCCCGTGCGATTCTGAAACTTCTGCGTTCCTTTTTGCTCCTCGTTGTTTAGGGGTGTTAACCCTTCGCGTGCCCTTTACCGCCCTTACCCGAGATCCAAGAACGACACTTTAATGCGATAGAAATGAGTTCTTAGGCATTTCTATCTTTTGTCTTCTACATTAATTTATTCTTTTTTATTACAATACAAAGCTTATTACGAATAGCAATTTTAATTTAACTTACCATAAAGTCTTAGCGTTCCTTCAGCTTTCCCCAACGAATTTGTCGAGATACAATTATAAGTTCCAATATCATCTTCGGAAAATCGGACGATCGTCATCCACATAAAAACTTTGTAGGAGTTTTTATCTTCACGAATATAGTATTTCGATCTGCAAAAAGGTTCCGATTTAATAACAAGATTATATTTTATTTCTCAAATATTGAATCGAAAATACATCTCTTACCCATTCAATAACATTTCTCCTCGATTTTTCACCCAATAATTTATTGTATTGGGATAAGCTTCAACGTAACATTCCAATTGAACGTTCGTAGTTAAAGGTGCTCCTAAAAGTTGATTTGGCACTTTTATCATAGGAGCAACTGAAAAAAAAATTAAATAAAAATAATTCTTACTAGAAGACATTAGAAGACACCGCACTTGTATCAAACCTAGCGACCTCGGCGATTGCGGCCAAATCGTTCCTTATATATACAGGTGTTCAAAAATTGGCGGATAACCTACACGTAGCGACTCTGAATCGAAAATCTTAATGTTAAATGTTGTTCTACTATGTTGCCAAATGTGTTTTTCAAAGAAAATAACTTTAACAAAAAAACTAGTTTTCAAAATTCTTTTTATTCTAAATTACAGCTTATTTATCAACAGATATTGAATATTAATGATTATTTATGGACAAATTATCCGACCCTTGAGAACCTCATGAAGACGTATGAAACATTGTACAACATTTTTCAATTAAGATTTTCGTTTTAGCATCGAATGAAGAATGTGTAGATTATCCACCAATTTCTGAACACCCTGCAAATCTTAGTAAACATACAAAGTCACTTACTAGAAGATATTTATCCCTAAACCACCGAGGTCGCTGGCGGGCGAGGCCAGCACTAATTGTACAGTACTAATTGTATTGTTCAAATAGTGGTCAATATTACTTTTAATGATAATCACACTTCCATCTCGAGCCGCATTACTAGAGTGAATTGTATGATAAATATTGTAATGGTTGATATTTAAGATATATGTCAATATTGTGTTCTTTAAGTATTATAGGTACTTATGTATTTTGATGCTGTCGAAGACCATTGGAATTCCACAGCATTATTTTTAGTAGCTGCATTTTAGACATTTTGATTGCGAGTCGCTAGAGTGTTCAAAAGTTGACAATTTCGTGTTGATATCAAACCCAGCGTCTCGCCCATGCCTCGTTCCTTATATACAATATAAGGAATATACAGTGTGTTAATTAATTATCGTATCCGACGTCATCATTGAAAGTATGCAACCAATATCACAGTATGTGTATTGCAATACACATACTAATAACTACATCTGAGCAACCAATATCACAGTATGTGTATTGCAATACACATACTAATAACTACATCTGAGCAACCAATATCACAGTATGTGTATTGCAATACACATACTAATAACTACATCTGAGCAACCAATATCACAGTATGTGTATTGCAATACGCAATACTGTGATATTGGTTGCATACTTTCAATGATGACGTCGGATACGATAATTAATTAAGACACTGTATATATTCCACGTTGCGCCTAGCGAGGTGAATATATCGCAGTAATTTCTGTCATATATGGTTACGACATGTAGTAGTAAGAGACTGCCAACGATGACTGTCATCAGTTAAGGTTATGTTAATAATAGAGCACAGATAGTTACCATAGTTATAAGAAGTTTAATAAGTGACTTTTAATAAATGATTTATAAAGTGAAGTGCTAGTAGTTACTCAGTGTTATATCCATAAGCTTATAACGGACAAACATTACAATTTCCACTAAAGAAAATAGTGTATTCACGTGTGTGTGGCGCGAAATAAGTTATAAATTATAAATATCAAATCATTTAGTGCCTAAAACTGTATAGATCGATATGGTTAACAGGTTGAGTGCCACAAGAGTCCAACGTGGTCTCGCATATACTTTTGACTTTCTAGCCAGGTGAGACCAATGTGGCCTCGCATGTACCCATACTTGATTTGGTTGTGTAGTTCCGCAACGGTCTCTCACTGCAATATGAAATCAATGGAGTTCGAAACTGCGCGGCCTGGCGGTCCAGAGACAACTTTTGGCCTGTGGAGATGAGAAACCAAAGCGGTGCTACGTGGCCAGGAAAGATAAAGTAACCCACATTTGTATTATTTTTTGTTTTTTACTTAGACATACATTTCATTAGGAATTTTATTTATTGACACATAATAAACATACAAGAAAAACAAAGAACATTTTATAAATGGAAATTATTGAACAACGCAACTAATTACAAAAAAAAAAAATAGTCAATTCACATCTAGGCAAATTATTTCTTCGCCACGTGGCTTTCAAAAAAACATTTAAGGCAATAATGTTTGTCACAAGCCTCGCATTTCAACATACTTTGCGGAGTTTTTTTGAGTGCTTCTTTTCTGCCCATTTCTTGACTATGTTGTGAGTAACAGACCACACAGCGCCTTCTTAGTTTTCTACCGAGGTTGACTAGCTTGTGGTCGTTTGTCGTAACCGTCTGTTCATGTTCTTCAAGTTGCAGAAGACCAAATATTACTGATTCTCCGAATTTTGTTATAGACATGGGCTCATTGGCGATGTCTCTATAAGCGATGTAAGCATTGATGAAAGCAGTGCCAGTCAAAAGTTCAATGGCAAGTTTTTTATACCACTTCAATGTTTTACGTAGTGAGGAATTGTAACTTTTTTTTTGATCGGCGATATCAATGAAGGCTTTGAACTTGTTGTATTCGATAACATTTTTTGGTTTGCAGACTTCACCTCGTCTTCTCTGCACGGTCACCATTTCATCGGTATATTTCGTGCTCAATGTCAGCACGTCTCTCTTATCCTTCCATTTTTGAACTACTATTCCTGAATTGCTTTCTTCAGCGATGGTTTCCCCAAGTTTGAGTTTTTTCGTTATAACATTCTTGGGATTGAATTTTCTGTTTGTTCGTAACGTTCCAATCAAATGAGTTTCACGGCGTAGTAGTTCGTGAGCAAGAGTTACTGAGGTGTAGTAGTTATCAGTGCAAAGAGTTCTCCCTTTATGAAGTAAATCTTTCATCAAGTTCAAAACAACGTTAGTTGGAACGCCTCTGTCTGCTCCTTACCGCAGTATATTTTGAAGTCGTAGGTGAAACCGCTCTCTAGGCACAACTTGAATACCTTTATGCCAAATTTGTGTCTTTTATTGGCAATGTATTGTTTGAACTTGAGCCGTCCCTGGAATGGCACCAATGTTTCGTCGATGCACACATATTCTCCTGGAACGTATATTCGTTGGAAGACTTCTTTGAGTTTCAGAACAAGTGGTGTAAGTTTCTGAAGCCTATCTTCGGTTACTTCAGAATTATCGCTGAAGTGTAGCATCTTAGATAGCAACTGAAAACGGTTTCGGGACATTACGCCTGTGATGAAGTTCTTATATATAGGGCTCTTGGACCAATAAGCTTGAAGCGTTGGGAACTGACAGAGCCCATCCACAAAACAATACCCAGGAATTTTTTCATTTCAGGTACAGTTGTATCATGCCAAGAGGTTATCCGAGCCCGTCGAAGTTGATTCTTTGCAAGACATTGTGCTGCATACCTATTCGTTTCCACGACCTTTTCGAAAAATAACAATAAAGTAACAAGAAAAAACTGCAACCATCAACTCTAAGATGTCATCACTCACAAATAGGCTATAAAATTCACAAGGAGTCTTGTCATGGAAATTTTCATGAATTTGTGGATCAAATCCCACGGTATTTGCTTCAGAGAACATAATTTGACGCAAGTTGTTGCCGGTTACAGGACCCCAAGTGATGTTTGCGTTTTGCGTAGCGGCATCAGTGGTTGACGGTAAAAGAGTTTCATCGGAATCCGAGTCAGAGTCTCGAGTCATATTTGCAATTACAGTTTCAATAACGTCAGCAACATGTTGCGCCTCAGTTGAAACATTACTTGAAGTTTCCGCACCCGTTGCACTTGTCGACGGTTCGTTACCTGTAATTGGGTGTTTTTGACGTTTTTCTCCATTCTTCGGGGGATGTTTCTTGTGCCTTTTCTTACGTAATTTGGAAGATGTCCTCTTCGATGATGATTCAGAATCTACTGAGGACTCACATTGATATTCATCAGAAAGATAGACGTCTCCACACAGTGATTCTTCATCTTGACTGCTGTAGTGTTCATCTTCATCAGACAGCACCTCCTGCCATAACTTCGTCAATCTCTTTTGTTCTTGCTCGTACGAGTACATGGTGTAATTCTTGCTGCACTACGAGAAGAACTGAGATGATCGCAAGCTTACTACACTCCCCCTCTCTTACCGGACCGTTCGTCAAGACATTTTGTCGGGCGTGCCGCGACAACTTTCAATATGCAGGGATATGCGTAGCGTAGTGACACATTGGTCTCTCTCGGCCGTTTCAACAAAATGGTCAAATATGCGGCCGCGTGAGACCAATGAGGTCTCCAAAAATGAAATGCCGTTTTCGATATTCCAAAAACATTTGGCGTATCAAAATACATGTTTTCATCAATAAAACTTTTATATCTAACTTTTCCGACAAAAAAAAGTGCCGGCCCATAGGACCAAAATTTTTCAATACATGGTGGCACTCAACCTGTTAATTATTGGAATTACTTATTGAACGTATAATCAGCAATTTTAACAAATAAATATTGGGAAAATAACAAATATTGATGTCTGTAAAGTAATTGAGATAAATGTGTTAGGGGTTGTAATGGTGGGCTACACACTTTGCCACCCTCCACTTCATCAGAAGACTTTGTCAATGGATTAACGGAATACTTAAATTTGACAAAAACTCTTAAAAATCATATTCCAATAGGCGATATCAATATAGATATATTACGGGAAACTACAATCTCTTGTAGTTTGTAGAAGTTGTATATTTATTAAAAGTTCAGGAAAACTCGACAATACGTACACTAGTGCTACTGTTGATCTGCATATAACAGATCATAAATCAACATTGTTTTACATAAATCTGAAATCCGGCGGCGAAAGGTCCAAAACTAAACTTAATCAAAACAACAATTATTAAACAAAAGTATTAAACAACAAAAAATAAAAATTGGTGATATCTCAGGTTTACTGGGGTTCTTATTATAAATTGAGTGATGTCGAAAAAATGGCAGAATAATTAATTTACACTATACAAAGGGGTATACGTAATAATACAAATGAAATAAAAACAAAAAGAGGCAATGAAAGACGAAGTAACTAAAATTGAAATCCCAGTGATACAAGAGAAACTTTCACAAAATATAGAAACAAATTGAATAAAATTATAGAAGCCAAAAGAAAATACAAACTGTATTATTCTATTATCAA